CGTTCCAACAACTTTTTCAGACCATTCTCAAGGTTCCTTTCTGTCATAATCACCCTCAAACGATAGTGTGATATCCAAATAATCGTTGAAACTGTGGCGTAGTCGAAACAGGGGACAGACCTTGCACTTTGCACCACTTATCATTTCGGAAATCTTTCACTTGGCTTCTGTTTCTTCTACAGTATCTGTGTACTATTATCAGCTTCGTTCATCAGATTGTCCATCGGCGGAAACTGGATGCTGGTTCCTCTGTGACCAGCTGCTGCAGCTATTGTTATTGATCACTTTATCAGATAAGGGCTGATTACGTACAGACAGATACTCAGCAGCTTACTGTCATACATACTAACCCTTGACTATACCTTTTCTCTGATAATATTCTGTAGGAGTTACGGTAAGATCTCCCTTATTTTTGAGATAATCAATGATCCCGATTTTTTTACCTGATTTCAGTCTTTTGCTCCTACTACTAGTTCTTGCTGCTCACAGATCAACAATAGTTACTGTTGGCAACAGGTCGTACCCCTACTGGAAATGAAGAAGAGTTCAAGGAACAGTCTGTTCCGAACTTCAAATAATTTTAACCTAGAGGAGCGCTTAACGTTTTTTAATCTGTCTTCGAGAGATTTTTCTTGGCTTCTATCCAGTTTGCGATGCTATGGCTAGCCCAGCTGGACGGACGTAGATATCGCTCCATTCTAATTGTTCTACTCGTAGATCCGGATTTGCTTAGATCAGTCAATGCTATCTGTTTTCGTACAGGCTGTTTTGTATTTGTTTTACTCGAGTTTTCAAGACCTCATGTTACTATTGAACCATCCTCCATGAATATTCATCACGCATAATAGGGCTGACCATGTACTTTTCGCTCCTTCTTTACGATTATTTTCATATGTGCGGCTCCGGGAGGGGTTCAATTCCTGTCCGTGGTCGAAGTTTTGCCACCATCTTTATGTTCAGATTTCTTTGGTTGCTGTTTGAGGGAACGAACCAAATTTGTAGGATTTTCGCCTCGGTAACTTGATTTGCGCTAAGGTTTGAGTCCACCCAGTCATCTTACCCTTTCAGGGTATCCATAACCAGTATGCGGTTACTCGGGACTATTTTTCTGACCATCGGCTGTTGTTGGGCCGACGACATCTCCTCTTCGGCCGTGTTCGACTGTAATCGGATAGATATAGCTTTTTGTTGTACGACAAGAGTGCGCACCATTTGCGCCGATCACTGCAGAGACGTTCAATGTGGCGGTCAAGGTAGGTTTATATTAACTTCGAATAATTTTTATTTTGTATTTGTTATGGAATCAATTGTTTTGGTGATGTATTATCTCTTATATTCTTTGAATTCGATGATCAGCTAAGTAGAATTTTTTAGAAACTGGAGTTCCAGATGAAAACACTGCCAACATAAGACGAGGTGGGTAACCTATGACTTTCTATGATGTTTACCTGTTTACTGCTACCCTAAAATGCCTTCTATAAGAATATACTATCTTTTCGTGAATCAAAAGATTTGGTGGTGTCCATATTTCAAGAAACTGCTCCTTTTTCCTGAACCGCCACGACGAGTAACCACTGAGCCCGAGCGTGTGCCCTCAGGTTCGGAGCATGGGGCGATACGCTCTAGCGGCGAATATCACGATAGGCTGCTCTGCGGAGCATTTGTCGGGTAGACCACACATGCTCACCCTACCAAAACCAAAAACGATTGGGTCTACTTAGGCTTTGGGTGGGCTGACTAACCTGCTTCGAGTAATCATTAGAAAGACTCTGGGTGTAGCTTTGTAGAAGCTACAGTGCTTTGTGGCTAACTGACTAACTTCCGTTTTCAATCCAGGTCCAGAGCCAGCATTCCATATCGAAATGATGACACCTCCACCACCAATGGATCCGTCAAATCAGTTCATTCCACCATCCCAACAGCTACCACCTGTTCACGACGGTCATGCTGAACTACTGCGACCGTCTGCAAATCCGCCTCCTCCGCCGTTGGCGTTGACGAGTACGCCATTTACACAATCTTCTCTGACAGGGTTTCCGACGCTGATTCCGTTTGAGCCGAGTATTGATGACATTGAAGAAATCGAAATCGCCAAAGCAGAAATCACTGATATTCCCATCGTCCACTCGACAGTTGTTAAGGTAGAGAAGATAATGTTTCGAAAGTCGGGAACTAATCCTGGAAAGGGTGTGGGTACCACTGGCTTGCCACTAGCGATTCCCGACTTTCGAGACTATTGCTCATATCTAACTAGCATACTAACTTACATGCTTCGGCTGAATCACAGTTTTACAGTCTATGCATCATCGCGTCAGAACGACACCCGATCCGAGAATTATCAGACCTCCGGAGTCTCTAGTCGTTATCGGAGATTATGATGATGACGACGACGAGAAGGAGCCACCGGCAAGAATTGGAACTACAAGGACTGTAGACCGAACGGACCCCGGTGAGCAGCAAGACATATTCACCCAAAAACCTTCAATAAGGTTGTCAATAGATTATGCTAATAACGCGGGAGTAATCCTAGTACCACTGACAAAAGGGGCGCTATAGAGCTCGTGAATCCCAACGCAAGGACGGGAAGGCTTCCTGAGAGCTCGCTTTTGATCAGCTTCCAGTTTTCAGAACTTTTCCCCTATGCAATCCTACGGCAATTTTAAGTATGTTTTTGTAAGTCAGGGCGGAATCACCTTAAGGGATAACTGTCTTGGAGTCGTTCCTGAACGCGTTTTTGGGACAAGAAGGTTCCATATCGTTTTTGATATAGCCTATTTGGTGATACCAGCAGAGCTCAATAGTACTATAGCCATGAACTAACACTTACTACAAGGGAGAGTTGAAGTCACGTGTGTCACTTACTGCCTACATGCCTGCTAACGTCTTTGAGAAGAACTTGGACCAACTTGTACTGCTTGTAGCCTACGCGCGTGCTTGTAGAAACGCTTAACCACTCTACTTGATTATTCGATGCAGAGCAATGACTTGTTCATTTGGGAACAACTGAGGATGTGGCATCCCTCTCCAGAAAAATCATCCCCTTTGACTAATAAAGGCGCTTTTGCGCACCCCCGTTGTAGGAAAGACCATTTGAGTGGTCTGTCTCGAGCTGCAGTTGGAAATTAGCAGGCAACCGAATCAATAGTTTCATTGTTCCGAATTCCTATGACTTCCTTTTTAGCTGTCGTATTCACGCGAGAGCCTTCTCAATCTGGTGGAATAGTAATGCCAAAGAGCTCCATATCGGAAGAAGTCGGTCCTCCGAGAGGCGAATCGACAGCACTAGGGCAGCCGTAAGTTACACATTCATCTTTCATTAATTCTCTTGAACCAGAGGCCGTAGTTCATGTTCTCCTCTGTTTTATCACTGCTTCATGCTCACTAATGGGTTTATTCGAGTATTTTTATCATCAATTCATTTATCGATTTAAATATCAAATGGATGAGTGAACGAAAACACAGCAATTTTTTGGCTATTCTTTCGATTGCGTATTCGCAAAACCTTCTAGCAGGAAACACCTATTTCTTGTGTTCCTTTTCCATTTTCTTTGCCGAGCCTACCTGGTCACGAGTTTCGTATATATGACGAGATTTCACTGAGGCCTGGTGTTTAAAATACGTCCCTAACGGAGGCTACTTATCACTGAATCTGCGGGCTACAAAATCTGCTACTGTTCTCATTTGTAAAGGCCATGATACTGTAATGAATCGTCGAAAAAAAGAGAACTAATAAGAAAGGATGGAGATGGCATAATTTTACCAGAACTCTCGGTCTCAAGCCCTTTAAGGTGAGGGGGGTCAAGGTTAATCCGCAAAAGCTGGCATGTGATCGTTGTCATCGAATGCTTGAATTCCGTTTATCGAAAGTGTTCGCATTGGGGGATGCTTGAAGAAGAAGTACAGATCTCAACAAGCGATCGTTTCTGAAAGAACCAGATTGTTCAGTATGCAAACGAGTTTTCATTTCTTTATGTGGGTTGGCCAGCAAAAAAAGATGACTGGTTGTAAAAGTTTTTGAACCCACCCATATGGTAATCCAGGATTCAGGTAACAGTGGGAGTCTCGTTTAAAGGGCTTCGAGGTACTGGCAACGCAATTAGCCGCTTCCAGAGCGCTTGGCCATGACTCAGTGGATCTCTACCCGTATCATAGGACATTGACCTGACCATTTATATTTGTGAATGGCTTTCTCTGGTTACCTGGTGCCTCTTCTATCTCACTGTGCCCTTATACTGTATATTGAATGTAACTTCTCCGTTTACAAATAGCTTTGGGGCAGGAGGTACCACCGCTGCTGGAGCTGACCCGTCCATCACGTCGTATCTTTAACATTTCACCATCAGCAGTCGATGATCCTGTTTTTTTCTCATAAGGGACGCTCACTTTCCGTTTTGCTTTGGCTGACTGTCGTTTTTTTTTTGCGGTCGGATTAACGAAGCAAGAAAAAACGTTACAAAATAAAGAGAAGATAGACGCTTCCTCCAGGAAAAACGTGTTGCCCCACTTATCCCAAGCTAGGCGCTGGATCGAGATTTGTAGTGAAAACGATTGGTTTTGGATCACTTGACGTGAAAGGTTAGTTTCCTAGTTCCAGGATGGCAAGGGCAACAGCACTTCCTGACCCTCACTTGCGAATTCTTTTGCATTAGGAAGTAATTAAACATGCAAACAGGTAACAGAAAAAGCCTCTTCCTTGCAGTTTTTAGTGAATCGTCCATTATTAAAATTAGTAGTCGCTTAACAAAGTACTGGGACTGGTCGCTTGCGGGATTCGCATGAAAGGTAAGTTGAAGACGAAGAGCACACTGCCGCTTTCAGATACCGCTCGATTCCTATATGATACTCGCCTTGGGGAGGAACCAAGACAAGCGTTTGCGAATTTGTCTGCAAGAATGCTAACATTTGAACATAAGGTTCCATAATTACTACACGAACCGCTTATTATCCATTTCCAACGATTTCGTGTCACTTTCGACTTCTTTGTTTACAGTAGTTAACATTGTTTTGTTTACAGTTCTTCATCACGGTGGAACGTGAAGGTATTGCCTGCGCAGAAACTGATTACGTGGCCTGAAGAGGCAAAGCTCCCACCGCATTACGCCGTTGACGGAGACTCGTCAAAACCCGACGAAAGCGAGAATCAACCAGGTTTGTTTCCTAAACCTTTTCCCATTGAGGAAGGGTGCTGTTAAATGACCAAGTGGGTGATGCTCTTGAGGAACCAGGTATCGACGAACCCTCGCAAGATACTGAACTGATCGAACACTCATCCATTCACTACTTCGACTCCATATGAAGTCGAATGGGCGGCGTATCCTTGAGAAGACCCTATAAGATCCCGATTCTAAACCCCAATCGAAACAAGCATTTGTCTCTATTAAAAAATCATTAGCTAGCTCAGGTCAAGAATTCTGCCGTGCGCTCTTCTAAAATTATCAGCCAACCATGTCTGTTTCAAGTTTTCGCCCAAGTGGGACACCTGTCCAGGGAGATTTAAGTTAAAGATTGTGCCTGTGCCAGTTACAAACCGATGATGCTTGATAACTCTAGCTCATTCCTAGTTGGCTGGACTGCTTACTAGTCCANTGAGGTGTGAGTTCAGCTCGTCGGAGAGAAACTTGCTGGATTGTTAGGTTCCTTCGCCTTCATACCCTGCAGTGCACCCATCATTTTTGAGTGATCTTTGAACGTTATAAGTTGAATATTCAGATGACAAAACGCTCATAAAGACGTTCTCCATAGCACCATCAAAAGCCAACATGATACCCGCCGGCATAATTGACTACATTGAACCAAAAGTCATTCAGGTTCGTTCTACTAGCTTTCGAATCATTTCATTCGAATTATCCCATTAACTGTCTTGCTTTTAGTTCATCAATCATGTTCGGACAACTCAAAGGCCTTTTAGGATGTCCAAAAATGGTAATTCATTTATTAGCTGTCTTTTACTGTAAGACGACACTGGTTTCTATTGAAGCACTCCGATCATCCCGGCCCCGTTCACGTCCGACTGCCACTACCGTCCCACTACCAGTACGGCCAGCAACGACACCGTTACCACCACAACCACGGCCGATCTTCAACAAACCTTTGGAACCAAATCCGCCTCAACCCAATGTACCCATACCACCGGTGACTCAGCCTACATGTGGTGTTGCACCAGATTTCACCCCTTGTGTCAGTTCGGAAGAGGCCAGCCACGGTGGGTGTTCATATCTCGTCTGCCTTGTAATAACTTAACTTTTAAATAAATTACTTTTAGTCCTTAAATTCGTATTTACAGCTCTGATGGATTGCTGTCGAAGAAAGAACCTTCCAGCTGGCTGTTTGTCGCTTTGCCGCTATGATATCACCCAAGCCGAGGTCTGTTGGAATGGTGTTGATTAGAAGGTTCCATTTTTCAACTTGGCCCATTTTAGGTGCGGTCAGCAATGGATCGGGGCTTATGTGGGATTTTCAGCGTTGCCCCCTATCTAGAATGCGCTTCTCAAGGTAAAGATAACACGGAATGCTGTCGATACAAAGGCCTTGCTCAGAAAACGTGAGTTTGCGATTTTCAAAAAGAGGAACTAGATCTGAAGGCATCACTTTCCAGAGGACCTCAATGCGAACAGTTCTGCCGACCATCTTACGGGCTAAGTGCCCTGGGTTTGCAACATATTGTATGCGGTAATGCCATCGGTGACATGCTTCATTGCCACCATGCAGGAATTCGACGATAATGGACATATTTTAATGATTGCGGGCGTATTTTTCTGTTGCCATTGTAGAAACATCAACGGGTGTATGGTGGGACTCCCATTCCGCCCACAGTACGTGGCGTCTGAACCCTTGAATTGTGAACCGAAATGAGTTGCTGTGAAAGTCTCAGCACGGGATTACAGTGCGATCGAATCATACCTAATCAACTGAATGAGCAAATAGGATTTTTCGAAAATTTCCCAAAATCCATAGTTCATTTGACTTCTTACCATGCTAACTGTACATATGTATGCCCTATTTTTGCCTACATTTTACTAGCGTTTCTGCCAATTTTACTCTTGATCTCAGGATTCTACATTTCTAAGCTTGCCCTTTTATTGTGTATGTTTCTGCTTCACGAGATAAATAATAAAATTTTCAAAGTGCGTTAGTCGACTTTGGAGTAGAATCCCGGAAGTGCTCTGTACGTGACTGCCAGTAGGGAAGGTTTCACTGTCTTATCAAAAACATAAAATAGTGAGCAGAGCCATGAAGAGCATTAGGTCCGAAAAGAGAATGAGCCATTTAGAACTGCCTTTTCTTAATCTGTTTCACTTAGTCTCAGGGGTCGAATGAGCTGCTTCTCAGGAAACACGCCCTTTATTCAGTATTTCCTCCGAGAGATCTGGGTTGTACAGATATCGCAGAACATAGAAAAGTTGCTGTGCATTGCTAGCTTTAGCCTTCCTGAACTTCACACTTGATTGAGCTAACGTCTCGGCCGCTTCGCCTTCGTCAGAAGTCGTAAAACCAATTGAGATCAATCTTCACGTAAGGTTAGACATGCTAAATACAGTAATCCGAACCAAGAAATCCCTGGGACCCGACAAATACAAGACTGTTACGTGGCTTACTTTGATCCCAGTCGACGGAGTGTTAGATCAGAGAAATTACTTCTGCTCGCAATGAACATAAGTTCGTACACGAAATTTATCGAACAAAATGAGCAGCAAAGGAGATAATTAGTTGATGTTCGAGTGCTATTTAAGGAGATCGGATTAACATTCACTCGTTGAACATTGGCACCAATTTTTCGACATTACGCTTAAGAACCTCCAATCTTGTAAACGTTGACCCAGCTCATGACGAAGTTTAGCAGCAGATTCTGCGCTCGGTATGACGAAATACATAGTGCATTGACGTGATCAATTGCACTAGCTTTCGATCCAAACAATATCGATTGACTCACAAGGTTGGCGATTTATCGACAAAACTTCAGTCTCGGAGGAGGCTCGAACCCGTACTCGTGCTTTCTGGGTTCCACGCTCTGTCCCTTACACTACCGAGACCCCGCTTGCCCTCGCCTTCTTAATGGCATATATTAAGAAATATCGATTGAGCGTTTCACCATCCCTTCAAATGTGTGCGCACTTTTGAAGGGAGACGGGCAGTAGGATCGGTTTTGTGTAATCGATTCGCCGCGCGCGCAGTCGCGGTCCATTCACTTCGTCGTTTTTACAGCTCTAGCGTTCTTCATACAGCTCACTCGATATGCGATTATTATTTTAGACATTATTCTAATGTTAGTTCTTTTGTTCCTATATTTCTTACCAGCTGCTGCAATCACCTACATTCCTTCGCGCGCGGCACCTCTCTCGCCGCGACGCGACAATCTCGATCGCTCTGCACCACACCCCACGTTTGAATGGGATATTAAGTTAGTTAGATCCACCTGGACTGGTCATAATTCTTTGAAATCATTGCTAGTTGTGCGAGAAATTTCGATTTTTTGCTACCTTTGTGTAGGTGGAATTGCACTCATTGTCGAATTTTAAACTCGGTTTTACTCTCTGACATCTTAGCGCTAACTTTCATGTTGGCGTAGACTTCGACGAACGAGTCAGCTTCATTTGTAGTTGGTCCCTCTACTACACCCTGCGACGTCTGTTCTGCAACTTCGATATCATTATCGTAAAACATCACTTTCCGATAAGAAACGTTGAAACACATTTTCATTCATTTTCACGACAAAACTTATAATCTGTGATATAAATAAATCATAAAAATACAAATTAATTCACCCGTAAGATCTAATCTGATTAGAAATTTTTGCATATGTAAATTATGAATATGTGCGATTGAATGAAAGATCAAAATTGACTAGAATAAGTGGTTGACTTAAATACTAAACCTATACAAATAAACAGACTTTGATTTTGGTTCAGCTGAGACTTAAATTACCGCAAACCTCTACGGTTATTACAGTGTTCATATTAATCATTATTTTTCACGTAGGCTGTGTTCATACTATGCATGAAAAATGATGGCTGCCCATGCAGATTTTGAGTATCGAATTACACGACGCGTTAGGACTTCCCAGTCTTATTCAATTATTTTAAACGTGAGTCTCATCTACGCGAATACCAATTGAATCGTGAACTACCCTTCAACTCAGAATGGCATCATATTCGTACCGTAATCCCACTATTGATCCATGCTACTACTCAACTACTACTTCCTACCTTACTACTAGAATTAGCAACAAACGTAGTGGAATCACGGCAGTTCTTCGAATCTGTTCAGAATTTCGATTCTTGCCATATTTGCTGCAAGGCTTCCCAAGTATAAACACAGCTAACGGGATAAATTTTGTTGTTATCCAGTAATGACCACAGTATGGAAATGATCTAGGAACTCCTAGATTCAGTGAGCATGTAGGAAAAGTTTTGAGTGGCAAGAATTCATAAAACTGAATTGCGAAGGCTCTCCGATTGTTACAGCTGTGACACGCAAATGTTAGGCAGCTCCACTTTCTCATCTGGTGTTCTCTCATGAATCTGAAAGCTAGCAATCTGAGACCATTTCTATAATATTAGGACAGAAGCTGCACTTAAAAGAATAGTGCAGATAGTGTCCAGCACACGGTCTTGCTATATACATATATTGAAAAGCCCAGATTATGGGTCACAGTTGCCTCGCCTAAGCCTTGGGCAAAGCATAGCCTACTACTGGGCATCGATAACTGATAATTAAGAAAACGCCTGATGAAAAATCGTCAATCATACCTGGTTCATACTCTGATTGAATGTCACTCTGGTGGGTCGTTCATCTTCCTCCGTCGTCTCGTCTTCGCCTTTCCCACAGCACCTGAAACTAAAACTGGGAAAAAATATTTCCTCGAAGAGCTGTTTTCATAGAAAAAGAACAGACCATTTTCGTCGTCGTTTTGGCATCCTGACAGTACTTAATGATGATGTTTCGGAAATGGGTGGTGTTGAACGAGCATCGTTGAACGTGACGTCACTTTCAACAAATTCCCGTTCCTGAACAGCAAAGGGATTTGGTTCTGCTACAATAGGTGATATTACTACTATTGATGTCGAACCCGGAAGCAGATTTTAATAAAAAAATATTCATATGAATTTTGGGAGTCTCAATTCTTCCACCCATTTAAGCCGAGAAACTCTTTATTCTAGCCTCTGTTGAAAGGTTTTGCTGGAATTGCGACATCGGAACGAAATCAAACTTACGGTTGCCTTCTCTAAACATTGCAACAGATGGTGATGCTGGATCTCGAAGATGTCCTCATCTCGTAGAGCATCAAGTGAGATCAGACCTAGAAAGACTCTGTTCTGTTCACTTATTGATTTTGGATGTAACTATGCATAGCGAATCAAAGACATCACTTTGGTAAAAGTGTTATGCCTTTCAGTCGGCCTTCGAGGCCCCCTTGCGCCGAGAAGGCTCTTTACGCTGCTAAATCGGCAGAGAGCGAGGGGATGTCACGTGGCGTTGGTCTGCGCCATTTATTTAGCGCCAGCAAGTCATCTTTCGTCACTGTCTCAACCTATCCCATCCCCTTAATTCTGCTCCAATGTTACATCGCAAGTAATTGAAATCTCGTATTCCGCCGTCACAGCTTGAGTAGGGACCATGCTAAACACAGTCGTCTGTAATATTGTCTTGCAATCGCAGAAATTTTACAATTACTAATCTTACTCAACTTTCATAAAGTTACTTAGCTTCTCATCGCATTCGTGTTTGTTCCAGATCTTTCCTGGATGCCCCAACTATGTAGTTGTGAGAAAACAAAACCTTCTAGGCTCAGGCTAGTGCGGCAGAATGAGCGAGAGGTCAGCGTGGTTTTCTAGCTAGATCACAACGGCACGAACGCCATCTCTAGCTGGCCACCGACACACGAGCCGCCAGTGCAGGCTAACGTGAGAAGAGGCGTTAGGTTTACTCTCCTAACGACTCCTGGATCTTAATCGATAGCACTTTACCATCATCATTATCTTCTGCCGCCCAGAAACCCTTGCAAGAAAAATTTTGAGTATTTCTAGAAAGACTGGTCGAAGACTGCACTACACATTTTGAAATGAGTTCATGGTAAATTTCTCACCGACCTTGTTCAAATGCTCGCATTCTAGCTTCATGTGCTTTCTTCTTATTAAATAGCGCTTGACCAGAGGCATTTTTCACTATTCGAATCCTGGCCAAACGAGCTTTCTAGAAAATGTGAACAGCGATTAGTGAAGGCAAGCAAAGTCAAGTGAGACCTTAACCAACCTTTTGTGCTCTTCGTTTGTCAGCGCGTTGATTTTGGTGATAAATACGCGAGAAGTTGCTTACAATAACCTTAATGTTAACACTCAGTACAAATAATAGTGATTTTGGTATCTGGCAAAGCAAATGGATTGAGGAAGTTTGGTAATAAGTAGCTCACCGGAACCGGTAACGCGATCACCAACACACCAGATAGTGAACAGATCCCACCAACAATTTTACCCATAACCGTTGACGGTACCATATCACCATAACCAAGTGTGGTAAGCTGAAATTCAAGAATTCATATGTATCAAAATCTATTATCGATCAGTTCAAAAATTATTATAACTAAAATCTCACCGTTACAATTGTGTACCAGAATGCAGCCGGGATGGAGGTAAACCTTAAAAAAGAGGGTGGTTGAACGGATATATTGGAAATGAGAAATACTGAGATGAATTCATATGCTTAGGGAAGGATTCATAGATTAAATGTGGGAGAACATGGTTCGAGAGAGCCATATGAACATGAGAACATGACACCGAACTGCATCATTGCTATACTCCTTTCGTAATTTGCATTTCACTGAATTTGATTGATTGTCTTCTCTTGTGTGAGCATGTTGATCCGCTTTATTCTCTGTGGTTTTCCTACAAATTTGTAATACTCTTATTAATTGTTGTGCATAATCATGTACATGGATATAGTGGCCGATGGACCTGATCACGACACGTACGTGGTCATGTATTCATTCTTTCTAACATTCAGAACAATCGCCATTTCCCAAATGAATTGAACTCAGAAAACTCTGCACATTGGCATGTTTTCGGCAAAATTTCGTCATCAGCTATGGTCAACGGCAAAAACCTTGTGGAGCAATCAATGATGACGACGGTACTGTAAGCTCTCAACCGTTCCATGCCTTCGCCGCGAAACGACACAAGCAAATCCTATTTCGATATCCTCGTCAGAAATGCGTTTAGAAAAAGTTGAAGTGATTCCGTTTTCGAGATCCAACAGAAGACGGTTCAGTAGGTTGTTTTTGCTATCGTTTCATGCGACGACGCCCCGTCTCCGAAGAATATTGGCGAAAATCGCTCGGAATTATTCACACTACGCATAAGAAATATCAATTATAGAGGTTGAAGAACAAAAAAAAGATTCATATGAACGAGATCAGTTGCGCGAACGTGAGTGCAGGTCCTACCTGGTATCGTTTACTTTCTTTTCGGCGTAGTACATAATCGTTGCGAAGATAATGATCGCCATAGCCAACGAAAACACCAGAAATCCGAGCTCAGATGCGCATGATTTCAGCGTATAGCCGAGTATTCGAAGACCTTGTGAATGCCGAGAAAATTTGAAGATTCGAAACACTCGCTGAAATCGGATCATTCGTTCGGTACGTGGAAATAAAAGAATTACGTAAAGATAAAAGTTGCACTCACAAATACTCGTAGAGTAACAAACGCTCCCGACACGTCTTTATTGTTCTGCAAGCCGAGACCGATGTAGTATGGTAGTATCGCCACCACGTCGATTACACTCATTATGGACCTAGAACCGCTATAAATTATGGTACATATTTACATAACTGTTCGTGAAAGGAGCCGCAGAAGGTATCGCGTTTGCGTCATCCCCCAGTTGACGCTTCCGTAGATGACGGATTGGAGTTGGAGACGTATGGTGAAAGCCTTTCCCGCAAAGTCATGCCCAGCATTCTCTGAACTAGCCTTAGGGCAAGAAGTTGAGAGCAGGGGCATGAAGAGCCATCAATACGATATCGTCAAACGGTGGACGAACTGTGTGCGAGAAATTAGGACCTCGCTCAAGGATGGCTTGAAGACTCAAGATTAGGCTCTCATACAAAATATCGACTTTTATGTAGAGCACCGAAAGGGAAAGCGACCATCAATAGCGAAGATAGCGCATCGTATGACAACAATAATGCAGAAATAATTAAATACAATCTGGATAAACTCACCTCAAAAACCGACATCGATCCGGTGCAGCATATAGTCGTAATAAATATTCTATGGTAAATATGATAACACAAGCAGTATCTAACACAAAAAACTGAAAGCATTCTCGTAAGTTATCGATTTCCTGAACGATAAATGATGAAAGTATAAACGGCTCACTTGGCTCTCATAGGCATCTCCACAGGAGGTAGGGGTATCATTTACATACCTAAAATTATTTGATGCAAAAAATGGGTGAGCAGAAGATTATTGATTAATTGATTGCTTTGGACTCACCAGCATGGAATGGTCTCTATTATATTACATAATACAGAAACGGCAATGAAAAAACCCGTGACATAGTAGAATACAAGTGCGACCGATGACGTGTGGGGGTTTTCGAACGCTGCCCACATCTTTTGCTGGAAATCAAAAATCGATTATTATAGAAGACTAACTCGTTTCGAGATGAGCCTTGTCCACTCAATAAGTTCGAATGGGTACGTGAGGTACGTAAATACCCACCTGAACAGACTGTTTGAGCTTGGTCGCGTCGGTGCTCTCGAGCTGCTCCTCGAGAAGGCGTTCCTGATTTTCTCGCTTCTTATCTTTATAATCTTCATAACAACAATCACTTATCAAATCTGGCATGATGCCAAAAAATGACAATTCTTCGTCGTACGCAACGAGGCATTCATGTCGAGGATACTGAAAATATTCACTACATTTATTCATACTAGCCCCATGCTGATGTTTCAGATTGCACGCTACGCGACAGCGCGCGTCTTGAGCATACCGGATTAAATCGATGAGGAGTGCCTTACGAGAATAATCTGTCAAACTCACATGCAGCTTTCCTGTACGATAGAAAGTGAGAATATGTCGAAAAATATCCGGGTCACGATCAAAGAAATATTCTCCCGTGTCCTCATCATAAAAAAACTCCTAAAAATTACTCTAAGTGGGAAAAAAGATTCGAATCGGAATGAATATAATTTTCATTCCAAGAGAAATCATTATGCCAACAATGAGCTGGAATACGAATGTTTTCTTCAAATTTTAAACTTTTTTTTCGGGAAAAATGAGCTTCAAGCAAACATAAGTTGGGATATACGATCAGCTCCTACCCATCTGGATTAAGTTAAAGAGCTTGCGTAAACCACTAATGACTTTGCGGAAAAGAACACTTCAAAAACAGCAATAAACAAACAAAAAAANTCGGAATGAATATAATTTTCATTCCAAGAGAAATCATTATGCCAACAATGAGCTGGAATACGAATGTTTTCTTCAAATTTTAAACTTTTTTTCGGGAAAAATGAGCTTCAACCAAACATAAGTTGGGATATACGATCAGCTCCTACCCGTCTGGATTAAGTTAAAGAGCTTGCGTAAACCACTAATGACTTTGCGGAAAAGAACACTTCAAAAACAGCAATAAACAAACAAAAAAAGAACCTTCTCATTGGATCCTAGTAGTGTTTCAGGAAACTTTTCCAACGTATTTTTCCACGTCTCAAATTTTCTTCCTGAGATGTTAATCGATAATTTCTCATCGGATACATGATCAACGGCAAGGTCTTTTGCCTGAAATCGAATAATTTTTGATGTATCGACAGAGAATCCCTCAAACTTCCGTTCCTAGAAAGGATATTTGATGGCCCTGATTTCTAAAGGGTTGGCGGAAGTGGAAGACAAAAATTCATTAAAAAAATGGAGGTGAAAGTTGCAGACAATAAAGAAATAAGGATAATAGATGAGGTAAACTCGAGCAAGGTGAGGGAATAGTTTCAATCAGGGTTCATTGATAATGCAGTCGTGATGGGAATTAGTGGTCAATTCATGAAGTCAGGGGGACAGGTAGACTTTTCTGGGTACGCTGATTACTTCAAATCCTTGAAGAAACCAGGGATCGCTATAAAGTAGTGGTAGGTCTATACTCAAGACACTTTTTGGCTTTCTGTGTCGCTCATCTCTTATAAACAGGTCGGCTGGCAAAGACTTCAATAACTGAGGGAATGGAAATAAGGAAGCATTGACTGAAGGAAGACGAGTTACTGGCTATCTAGGTAGAAAAGTAAGTTCAAAGAAACGGAAGATTAGCCTACACAAAGGCGATAAGATCCTATCATATTCAATGCGCGAGTTTAAAGCCGTACAATCAGAGGGAATGTGGTGAAGCTAGAAGGCGCCTTCTCACAGGCATGGTCCAGGGATCATTCCCAGGTCGCTATCCGCCGATAGATACCATATTCCTAGAGTCGGTTGATTGGTAGCGGGCTTATTAGGAGGATAAGATCGCTGACAAGGATTTCGTACTTGACTCCAGTACCATGGTAGGCCAAGGACCAGGACTGTTGAGGGTAATGGATTCGGGCGAATAAGTGGGCACGGAGCACATCTCCAGAATCGAGAGAAGGATTGCCAAAAGTTTCAGACTTGAGAATTTCAAGATACTGTATCACCTAAGCCTGCATTACAATACTAAATTGAGGGAGAGAAAAGTAAGGTCTTATCTCACGGAACTCGGTAAGTCACCCACAAACTCGTAGGGTCCCTGCGACTTCTTTTCAGGGACATACTTCTCAGTACCTATTCTTGGGAATTGTTGTATTAATCTTGTATAAGTGCTCCTCATTGAGATGAATAACATGAATATGTAACGACTATGCCTTTTCCAATGAATAGCGATTGGAATGCCAACATTGAATGTCATTTTAGCATTTAGGCGGACAAAGGCAGTTAAACTTAGAAAGTCATTCAAAATCGTTTCCATCATCGCGTTTCCGCTTACATACAAGTAGTGAATTGTCGCAAGCGGCTTCATTTTCAAAGGTTCAGTGCCCAAATTGCCTACGTCAGGGTATCCTGTACTTACAATATAGGACGGGTGACCTTTCACACTATGTAGGTATCTGTGGTTGCACAGTCGCGGGGTTTTCATTTGCAACTAAACCAGTTCTTAGCTCACGCTAAGATGGAATCAAGGAAGGATCATGTAGAAGGTAAAAAACCGTAAAAACTGGAGAGTTACATGACATCTTCAGGTTCCGAATCTGGACCAGAAGGAACTTCCGAAGCCACAGGGCGAGAAGCTACCACTGAACTTCTACGATGTTAGAGGTACATACATAGTAATTCAAGATGAGCTGTTGGGAAAAAGCTTCTGGAGTTAAACAATCCCGTATCTGGATTACACTGAGGCTTGAGGCGCCCACTATCCTACACCATTGCTCAGGCTTCCATAAAGACTACCCATTTCTTTCAGAGGTGTCAGGCTTTGGGGGAGGGGAGGACAGGGCATCTTCCTGTTAGATTAAGAGGATTATTGAAAAACAGTAACCTACAGAATGACCCGACCTCACACAGAGTTCCTTTGGTTTTTCATTGGATGTAGTGTCTTGCAGAAAATTGCAAATTTTGTCCTTTTCTACAGGAGGAAATAATGAAGTGCTTCAGATGAGCACTTTTTTTGGAATTTTTGTTCTAACTCCGATAAAATTAGAAGAATAATGGAGACATCCTTTGAATGCACTTGCACAAATACTTGGAATGTGCTTCTCCAAAAAAGGCCATTCTTTTTTGCCTTCCGCGGTCCCTAAGACAGGAATAGTTCCATAAAATACTTAATGTTCACTGCGATTTTGTTCGGAGTTTATACATGACGATAAAACTACTGGTCATTTTAATTATTGCCCACGAGAACGAGCTAAAGTGAACTGTGAAATCTACGAGATTCTCAAAAGCGGGCGAATGCGTGGCGTATTCCAAGGACATCTATCTGTCCATGTCAGATCGGTGCGCATTGTTCCATTTGATTTATCGAACATACGTGCGTGCACTCATCAGTGGTGTAACATCAACGTTATTTCAAGGATCAGCTTAATCTAACATGACAACTGTGCAAACCACCCAGATCTGATACAGGAAATGACAACTGTGCAAACCACCCAGATCTGATACAGGAAAAACCAATCGATAATTGATTTTTTAAGAGGGATCACCCATGTTTATATCTGGATCTAGGCAACGTAACAAAAAATACAGAGTTGACTTTTAGAAACCCGGTAGCGTTCAAGGGAGCCCCTAGTGAGTAGAGATCCAGACGAGATAGGTGGAAAGGGGGGAACGAAAATTCAAATTATTAGGACCCATTTTTTCTAAGGGTAAGGGTGTCCTTGAGGTAGACTTTTATTGAATCAGCTCTATCCTCTACTTACATTTGGTGAGATATTGGCTTTTGAATTTATTTTGTGAATTATTGTGAATCTCTTTTACTCCGTCAAGTACATCTACTGACCTGTAAGATAGAAGCCTTACTATCTGCGAGGTATGGAACCAGGTCTTCCAAATTGAACAGATCCTACTTTTGTAATCTAATCCCTAGTTCTAGAAGATTATCAGGTTTTTGGAAACTTTTGTTTTAAGATAAACNAGCAAAAGCTTGGGTTTTGATGTACAACCGCTTGAACAGCCACAGTTTTCAGTCCAGTTCAAATCAATTCAAATCATTACTCAGCCAAAAATTGCTTCCTACTATGACTGTTTTCTAGTGTAGGTCAGGAGATGCCGGTAAAGCCAGGTAACAGCGGTGGCAGCGAGCGGTCACTCCCCGTGGCAGCGATGGCGCTCGCTACGAAATTGAGCCTTGTGCACCCTGTTTTATACTGTCAAATCAGACAAATGAGTCTTTTTAAACTTGTTAGAGGATATGTAGCCTTTCTTTCTTGAAAAAGCCAAAAACAACTCCATTGAGAAGGGAAAAGCTAATGGAATGCGCCACGAACTTGTGAATTTGTTAGTTTAGCAGGGGAGCACTTTTCTCGGACCGGTATACAACCTACTAGATTTCAGGCTTTTTCTAGAATTTCCTGAAAGGGTGTTCTTATGGGTACAGATTGGGGTGTAAGCATTGATCCAAGGGTTAACAAATCACGGCTGGCACATGTACAGAGTAGAAAGGTGTT